CTTGACCGTCACTTGACCGCGATCTTACAAAACACTGAAGCTGCACTGACGAGCTTTCACCCACTTATCCATATAAAAGGTTTTGTTTCCAATTTTTGACTCCAAAATAAAATAAAAATGCATCGACACACGGCTCCGAGCTAAAACAGCAACAAACATTCAGAACATCCGGTGTATTTTCACACGCTTTGATGGGTTTCCCTACTAATTAACAACAAAGTTATAATAATAATAATAATAAAATACAAACAAATCACTGACACTTACATTTGGTGACAGCTGACCTGAAAACCACTGCCAACATCGCCCTTTGAATGGTGCAGAGTCCAGACCGTTTAGCGAGGCTGCATACAGAAACAATCATTCACTTCACCTGGCCCTCTGGACATTAGCCAGTTAGCTTTGCTAAAGCTAAGTAGTTATCAGCAGGGATCTTACGTGAGTTAATCGGTAGTTCACCGGTTATCCTTCGGCACAAACAGCAGACATACAGCGTGGCTTTACTTAACAAATGTTAACGCACAGCTCATTAAATGAACCCGTGACGTCACTATGTGAACTATAAACAATTCGAACATTCCCTAGCTAAGTTAGCACTGGCGCTGCCGTAAAGCCTAGTGTAGAAGCGAAAGAAAACTTATGCGTCAGATAAGAAGCGGCTGGCTTCACTGCAGATCACAAATGACGGTTCACTTGACCGTGTTCACTAAACAGTCTGGACTCTGCAGGGTTCAAAAGGCGATGTTGGCGATGGTTTTCAGGTCAGCTGTCACTAGATGTAAGTGTCTATAATTTGTTTGTATTTTATTATTTTACTTTAAATGTTGTGTTAAGTAGTAGTAAAACGTATCAAATCGTGTGAAAATACACTGCATGTTTTGAATGTTTGTCGCTGTTTTAGCTCGGAGCCGTGTGTTGAAGTTCTGGAGTCAAAAATTGGAAACAAAACCTTTTATAAAGATAAGTGGGTGAAAGGTCGTCACTGCAGCTTCAGTGTTTTGTAAGGTGCAGGGCTCACTTTGTGTTCTTTAATTTCACCCCTATGAAATATAAAGAGTCTTTTCAAAAACCAACCAGAAAACATTACACAGCTTCGAGAATACACGACTGAGGCAGGCTGGTCCTAATATTAAGATACCTTTATTAACTGCATTTGTTAAAATAAAAAACTAAAAAAGAACAGAGCACAACAAAAGTTGACTATGGCATGTCCTGTCCTGTAATACTATCCTAAATTAAATAAAACCACCATACATTGAACTGGACTTGCCAGTAGCTAAGGACCATGAGAGAAGAAAATCACACGTGCAAACCAACTCTACACCCCAGGTGTCGTACAACAAAAGTAGTGTGGAAAACGACCCACGACCGAAGGTCCCACAGATACTGAGTATCCTCAATTCACTGCATTAAAAAAAAGTCATAGGTAATAGGGCACTTAACATCAGACGCATTGCTCACAGTGAAACTACAAAATGTACTCCCAACATAATAAAAACACAGACGATATTTGATCCCAGCGCACTCCAAAAAGGAATGACGCTCTCTCTGACGAATGGTACAAATCAAATGTGCAGGTACAAATGTCACTGTAAACAAACACCAGAAACGTAAAGGATCCCCAGAGTCTGGCTACGTGGTCAAACCAAATATAAACAGTGTCACAAAACTGTAGACGGTACAAGACAGCAGTTCCTTAAAGGACGGGGCCAAACGGCGGCAGCCGCCCTCTCCAAAACGGCAGAAAATAAATACACGGCCACTCTGTAACTGTACAGCCTGAAAAGTACAGTTACAGTACATTAGTGTCTAATACCACACTCACAAATTGAGCAATAAATTGGGAAAGCTTCTCTTATTCTGATTCTTTTTCTTCTTCAGAT